TTTTTTTTTCTTATTATGTTTAATGTTTTTTAAACAAAACTCAGTTGATAGATGATTGTAAAAAATTAATAAATATTAACTATTATAAATAAAAGAAACGAGATACAGATATAACTAGAGAAAAAGTGGAGATTGAAGTTCACCGTGACATCCATGAGGTAGATAAGGGTTGCCTTCAAATCCACGTGCACAAACACATCGTTGACTTGCGTTCCAGGACATTGAAGATAAATTATACAATGAAAAAAAGTCGGAATCGTTGTAATAACCATAACCAATAGTATACAATGAGAACAAGTCGGATTCGTTGTAATAACCATAACCAACAGTATCATTAGGACCATTAAACTTGAAACAATTAAATGCACTCTCATTTGTATGTGGTAATTGTAATACATCCTTATCAGTAATCGCCCATTCTAACACGCCTAAAACATATTCCTCCAAGATGGATCCTGACCAGACGGACATAAAAAGACTTCCAGAAAGATTCAAATGTGCCCAGGTTCTGGCACAATTCGTGCAGTTTGTGGGTAGTTTGACGGTAATAAAGCTGGGCATAAGAGAGAAATACAGTACCTCAATATTTCTTGTGCTGTTTAGTAGAGTTCTAGTAGGATTGGTACCGTTATCACAGTAGAGCTCAAACCCTTTGCTCATGTAGCAACCTGTTCCGATTCCAAAGGGGTATGGAATGCTGACATTCCCACAACGCTCTTGACAACCGGGCTTCACCTGAGCCTGGCCTGCTGCTGATTCAATCATTAGCAGTACTAAGAAAGCAAAGATAGATGATGTTCGGATGATCATCATTTCTTTCGTTCCTCAAATGCTCATTAGATTTGAGATTTAGAAAACAGTATAGGTGGAACTTTATAAGTGGTAGAGATGAAATGTTTTTTTTTTTTTGACAAAAGTCCGCTATATTCTTTTTCTTTTTCCTTTTTTTTTTTTTTTTTTATTTTTTGAAGTTGGCAGTTATTTCAATAATATGTTTGTCCTTTAAATGGTAGGGAAGGGGTTGGGTTCGAAACCACAATCGTAGTTGCACCCACTTCTGAGAATATTACCTGCTTTCGAGGATGGTTGGGGATTTGAAAATTCTTAGCTTAATTTCTAGATTCATTTACAAGATTCATGTACAAGATTCTACTTGGCCTTTCAAAATATATATAGAAAATTCTACTCTCTTTCGCAAAATAATAGTGGTCGTTTGACTTAGAAATTGTTAGAGATTGATTTATG